TGACATTTTAAGTAAATGTAGATATACTTCGGATGAGAACGGCTACAGCTTCACTTCGCTGATTTCGAAAATTGAACACGAAGAAAAAGAAATTATGAATATTACCATAAGCAAAGATGAAGTGAAGTATGAAAAAGAAATCGAAGAGTTGAAAAATAATTATAAACCAATGAAATGGAGTAAAAGTCCAATCGAAATGAAAATTATTCTAGCAAAGGAAGAACCGATATACGCATCCCCAAGCAGAAAAGCATCAGAAGAGGCAAAAATAATCACAACACAGGTTGAAGAATGGCTAAAAGGGGGAATTATTCGAAAATCAACGTCACAGTATTGCAGTCGAGTCGTACTAGCAGCTAAAAAAGATGGAACAAAAAGAGTATGTGTCGACTACAGACGTCTTAATAAGTTGGCATTTAAAGACCAATACCCAACACCAAATATGGAAGATGTGGTGGACAAGCTAGATGGTGCGGTGATATTTAGCACCTTGGATATTGAAAGTGCATTCTTGCACGTACCAATTGAAGAAAGTAGTAGAAAATATACAGCGTTTATAACGCAAGATGGTTTATTTGAGTTCAATTTCGCACCTTTTGGATTTTGCAACTCACCGGCAAATTTTATACGGTACATAAGTTGCATTTTAAAATAGCTGATTAAAGATGGCATTCTAGCAGTCTACATGGATAACATAATCATTTTCTCAAAAACCAAGGAAGAAAACTTGAGAAAGTTGGCTTTATTTTTCGAAGTTGCTGCAGAATACGGTTTACGCATTAATTGGAAGAAATGCAAATTCTTGCAAAGAAGAGTTCAATTTTTAGGCGTAATTATTGAAAATGGTATCATAAACCCAAGCGATGAGAAAATTAAAGCAGTAAAAAATTTCCCAGTGCCAAAAAATGTAAGAGCAGTTCAATCGTTATTGGGACTTTTTGGCTTTTTTCGAAAATTTGTAAAAGGCTTCTCCATAATAGCAAGACCGTTGACGAACCTATTGAAAAAAAACGTGAAATTCGTTATATGCGAAAACAAGATAAGGGCGATACAACAGTTGAAACAAACGTTAACTAATCAACCGATGTTAAGAATTTTTTCAAGAAATCATCGAACGGAGTTACATACGGATGCATCCAAAGACGGATTTGGAGCTATACTCTTGCAAGAATTTGAAGAGAAACTACATCCAGTGTATTTTTGGAGCAAAAAACAACAGTTGCAGAAGCCAAACTTTATTGGTGATTCCACGACTAATGGAAAGAGAGGTGATAAAAACTTGTCATGACCAAGGTCATTTTGGAGTTATGAAAACGGCTACCAAATCAAGCAGTAATATAAATATTTCGCATCTAGAGCAAAAAGTTGATAAATTAATCAAAAACTGTGTCAAATGTATTTTGTACAACAAAAAGCAGGGTAAGCTAGAGGGATTACTACATACGATTGATAAAGGCGATACTCCATTATGTACGTTACATGTAGATCACCTAGGACCGATGGATGCTACGTCAAAGAAATATAAGTATATTTTCGCAATGGTCGATGACTTTAGCAAGTTTGTGTGGCTTTATCCGACAAGGTCTACTGGGGCTGAGGAAGTAATAACAAAACTCGAATTGTGGACTAAAATATTTGGAGTCTCCTCATCAATGGTATCGTTTTGTGGGAGACGTGCAAAGCGCTATTAATAATGCAATTCATCGAACTACGAAATATTCACCGTTTGAAATCCTTTTTGGTATAAAAATGCGAAAGAACAGCGGGTACAACTCTATAAAACAAACAATAGAGGATGAATTGATTCAAGAATTTGACGAAGAACACAATATACTCCGACAACATGCGAAACAACAAATTGAAGAGGGCCAAGCTGAATATAAAAAAACATTTGATAGAAAGCGGAAAGAAAAGCGGGTATATAAAGCAGGCGACTTGGTCGCCATTAAACGTACTCAATTTATTCCAGATAAAAAATTAATAAATGAATATTTGGGTCCATACGAAGTAACAAAAACCAAAAGCAACGGACGATACGATGTAAGAAAGGCAGGCGGTTTTGAGGGGCCAAAGACTACATTAACTAGCTGCGATCATATGAAGTTATGGCGTTATGCAGAAGTAGATGAAGAACTATCATCCGGGTCGGATGAAGAGTCGGATGTCTGAATATAGGCAGGAACGGGAAGATCTGGCAACGCCGGCAAAAAGGAACGAGAAGAGGCTTAAAGAAACAAGCAGTTGTTGGTATTAAGTCGTCGTGGTAGTCAGTCGTTTGCGCGCTTTGATATATATAACTAAACAATAACTATTAAATAAACATTCCTATATATATATAACTTAACAATAACTATTAAATAAATATTCCTACATATATATATATATATATATGAGTCATACATATATATATATATTATATATAATATATATATATATATATGACTCATTGGATGAAATCAGGGCGTTATTCGCACTGAATACGGTAAGTATTCAAATACGGTTATTAAATTTTCCTCGTTATCAAACTGATCGTTGTTGTGAATTTGGTTTCGAAATAATTCCTTTTCTTTCTAAAACTTTTCCAATTCGTAATTTATATTTGTTGAATAGTTCAGGACTTCACTGGATTACTCGCTTTTTGAAAAATTTTAATTCAAAAAAAGAAAAATCAGAACTTATATTTAACCTCTTCCAAGTAGAAAATAAAAAACTTTCGTCACATACATTGGCAGTGTGTGGAAGTCAAAAATGACTCTAAAACTGAATTTACTAAAAAAAGGTAATTATCAAAATAGCATTTAATTCTTCTAATATAGTATAGAATTGACTACATTAGTCAAGAGAATATAGTAGATTATTTTTATGAGCATTCATCAACTTGGTAGGCTGGGACTGATTTATTTGATTATTTGAATGGGAAAGTAATCGCATGGCATGTCTTGTATTGTATTTACGTAATACTTTCATAATATCATCCAACATAATGTCGATTACCAACATCTCTAGCAATGTTGGTAATCGATCGAAACATATCATTCTATGTTGACCATAGTTCAATATTGAATTATCAACTTAATACAACCAAACGAATTATCAAATAAGTTAAAGTTTGTATAATTTCAAAACTTAACCTTTTAAGTTAAAATTCGATAAAGTCATTTCAATATCAGGCCTGCATAATCACGGAAATTTTTTTTAAAACTAGAATAAATCCCTGTTTTGTAATTTAAATTGCTTCATTCTCAGTTTCTTTAAGTGGTAAACAGAATGTTGACCAAAATAGCTGCTATATAAAGCTATAATATAACTGTAGCTATATAACAAATATGGACATATGGGATCCCATTATGATGCTCAATTGCTAAGTCAAATGCAGATATTACACAACATTTTTTATTAAAAGATCCCTTCATTAGGACCTCAACAACGAGTAGTGTTGGACTCGCAGACGTGTTATTGCAGTCTTATGATACGAAAACATGGCAATGTGTAGCATGTTACAGGCGTTAATATCACAGTTACGAGATGGAAGCTTTGGCTGTGGTGGAGACTATGGAATGATTCCGAACGTATTTGTTACGAAAGAAATTTCGGTTGATGATAGATTGCTCAGTTATCGCCAAAGTTTGCACGTTGGTGGTTAAAACTACAAGAGTTCGACTTCAAAGAAGTACATCGATCGTTTAGCCGTTGTTAAGGCAGGCGTTGTTATGAAAATGATGACCGATGTCAACGATGAGTTGCACACGATATAGATTTAGCAAGAAATCTTACGCGAAATAATATCAGTCTTAAGGGGCGACGTTAAATCTCGCAACCAAATCGTGCTAAGGAAAGAGTATCGTTCACAAAAACATCTGTTATATCGACGATAAACAAATGGCATAAATTCGTCGTTAAGAAATACGTACACTGGCGTAATTTTCATCTATGTCATGACCGCATGGGTCACTTCGTATTGGAAAAGCGAGTGAATATCTTCAGCAGAAACTACGCACAAATATATATTGCTTCATGTATCGAATGATGTTATCAAAAGGCAATCACTTGAAAAACATAACGACGTTTATATTGTATCTCATCAAATCCAATACCTTTCCATTTAGTTCACATCAATCATTTGGATCCTTTAATCGAAGCAAGAAAGAAAACTGTTATGTGTTGGCCAGAGACACGAAAAAGTCGCATGTAATCTAGGCTCAGAACAATTTGACTAATTACTTTGGGTCACTATCGCAAATTGTAACGGATAGGGTACTGTTTTTACCTTCAAAGCCTCTGAGGTACATTGTGATGAATCCGACACATCAAAACAGCCATGCGTACACTACTTACGCACGTGTAGCGATGATACTAAAACTTAAAACGATGCTACGAAATTTACAATAGTTCTCGCAAAAGAATGCAACTTCTGGGTTCAGCCCGAACGAACTTATATTCGTTTTTGATCTTAGAAACATCGTCCACAATCAACTTATAACCGCTATCATCGATGAGACAAATGATGGCGAAAAACAAGTAACGATTGCTGAAAAACGAAAACTTGAACCGAAATATCGTGGGCCTTATCACATTTTAAAAGACATATTAGGAATGCAGATAACATGACGAAAATTCTGCTCAGTGTTCGCATCTGACAAAATTAAACCATGGTGTTCTCTCCCAAACTGGATGACTCGCAAATCAAGGTCCATTTACCCTCAGGATTGGCCGAGTTGGCCGAGCTGGCATCACTGCGGCATAGAAACAAGAAAAAATACAAGAGTGAATAAAAAATGACAAAAGCACTAGCGATTAAAGAAGAAGACTGTGTATTTTTGTCTATAATATGATGAAGTAAAAAAAAAAATTAATACGTTTTAAAAAAAATTTAAGAGTGTTTTTAATAAATTTGTGTTGAAATAAAACCAAAACACCTCCAGTCAAACGGCTGGGGTGATAAATATATAAGAAAATATATTTTATAATATTAATTTTATATATGTTTAAAAATTTTACTGTCACACTAAATACTAAATATTGGCATATTACAAGTTAAGAAAATAAGTTAATTGAAAATATGTACACATATTCAAAATTAGTTCTTACTTGTAAAAGTCTGGTAAGTTTCGAGTCTCTATACGGGACATGTTTTGTTTTTCCGTCAACTAAAGCTGAAATAACATTTCCAAGAGCAGATAGTGATAAATTTATTTTTGTTGCTTCCTTTAGTCGTTCTCCAACTGCTCCAGTTTTATATTGTCTTTCTGAACCAGCCAAATCAACTAAATTTAGTTTACCTCTACGTATACGGCTTGATGAAACATCCTCAAGTACAGTATCAATAATATCGTCATCATATTTATTTTGAATTTGTTCTAGGCTTATTGTAAATATTGAATGGGATCGTGAGCTGGACGAATTCATAAGAGTAATAGCCTGTTTTCGGTTTCTATTTCCATTAGCTAGTAACGTTTCGCATTCTTTTGAATTATGTACCATATGAGTACTTAGTGTCGGAACAGTTACTCCAATACCAGGTAATTCTTTTAAAGCATGAGCTGTGTTAAATCCCTCAGGAGAACTTAGGAGATCACGAATGGTTTCATTATATATTTCCAAATAACTCACAAGTGCTAAATAATGTACTCCGCTTGCTACCGATATCGCTTCAAATATGTGATCGAACGATTTACTTATAACACCACGTTGACTATTTGGAACTTCTGGAATTTCAGTTATATCGGGCCCATGCATTGTATGGGTTTTACCACAACCAGTCTGGCCATATGCAAATATTGTGCCATTGTATCCATCTAAAACGTTATCTATCAAAGAATAGCACACATCATTGTAAAGAGATTCAGTTGGGGCGAGTTCATCATAAACATTGTCATATGTGAATGCTTTGGCTGGTGCGCTAGAGTCAGATGGATTTGATACATACAGCGTACAGTTTTCTACTCTAGCTATATTCTGTAACATAATATTAATTATACATTAAAACGAATATTTAGGTAATTGGATTAAACGAGTTAATATAAGTAATCTTTAGAATTATTTAATATATTCAAATTAGTAATCAAAATGAATCAAAAATTTTTGATACACATACCAAACAAAAATTCAAAAAATAAATTATGAATTAATATATATATATGTAATTATTCAATTAATTAATATTTCATTCATGTAAATGAAATAGTTGTATGATGTGTTGCGCACGAATCTTTCAAGCGCAAAAGGGATTTTTAAACTTGAAGATCTCGTTTGAAAACTACACTTTAGGTGTGCGGAACAGTGATGCACAATTAATTCCTTCATTCATTCATTCTTCTTTTGACCAGCAGCGCGCACACATCATAAAGTACTAGCGTAATTTTTAAAAGTAATAAAACTAAATCTAAATTGATATTAAAAGTTATGCTTTACTTCGCTTGATGAATTATTTCCATATTGGTGACCCCAGACAAACATGAAGTTGCTCAAACATTGATAGCGGTGCTGAATAAACCTCATAATCCTGATTTCCAAGCGCAGTTCAGAAACTCCAACATCACAACTAATCAATCAATGTACGATCATGTGGTTTGTAGCCTTGACAGCGCTACATTAAAAAACATAGCAAACATTGTCCGAATTCCTCCATTATCTGGAAAATATGAAGCAATAAAAAAACCCTGATCCAGAATTATGCCGATTCAAAATGCCGAAAGCTGCGACGCTTGGTGCAAGAATGTCAATTAGGCGACTTAAAACCTTCTTAGCTACTCAGAATAATGCGCAATTTGGCTAGCGGGGAAATAAAAGACGAAGCTAGAAAACAATTGGCATTCAATCGGTTACCTGATGCTGTTCGGGATGTAGTATCAATCGCAGATGTCGACCTAGTTCACTGCTAAAAGAATTCAAAAAAATGATGATTTCAATATTCAACCACAAAATTAGAGGTAATCAAACCGCTGTCCAGCATCATACTGCTACAACAGGTCAGCCGGTTTATTCATGTCAAAGATGACTTAATCCATAGAAGCTCCAAACAGCAAAACGCGAATTTGAATACATGCTAAAACAGGGCATATGTATACTGTCGCAGAGTGAGTGTACCAGCCCATTAAATATGGTCGAAAAAAAGAATGGGATTTGGCGACCATGTGGTGACTATCGACGTCTTAATGCGCAGACAATACCCGATCGGCACCCAAAACCCAACGTGCAAGATTTCGCGCAGACATTAAGCGGTAAGTGTATCTTTACAACACTGGACTTAGGCATATTATAATATACCGATTGCGACTGCGGATAGAAAAAAAACAGCCATCACTACTTTATTTGGCTTATTCGAATTCAATGTCATGACCTTTGGAATCTGTAATGCTGCTCAAACCTACCAACGTCACATGAACCAATTATTTAGAGGACTCAACCTTGTGATTTGTTACATTGATGACATCTGTATCTCTTCAGTAAATGAAGAAATGAGAACATTACCAACACATACGCATAGTATTCGAGCGACTTCAGCAGTACGGACTTAAGCTGAACGTTTCAAAATACGTCTTTGGCTAACAAGAAGTAACGTTTCTCGGTCATACCATCAACCAACAAGGCATATGTTCACCAAAGGAGAGAGTAGAAGCAATACATAACTTCCCAAAATGAAACACGATTCAGGTGTTAACACAATTTCTAGCTACGATTAATTTCTATCGAAGTTTAATACTTGGTGCAGCTACAATTCGAAATACAATGCAGTAACTTATAAAAACCAATAAAAAGAATGACAAAACTCGATGGACAGAAGATGCAGAATCAGCTTTTGTCACATACAAAAAAGCACAAGCAAGTGAATAGTAGGTGCAGCATTGCGCCACATACCAAATAGACAGATCGAAGCTCTCGGTTTTTAATCAAAGCATCTAACCGAGACACAAAAAACGATACAGCACATATGACAGAGAATTGCTTGCCATTTACCATAAAACACTTTGTACACATGATCGAAGGTAGAAAATGAAAAGTTTTGACAAACCACAAGCCTATCATTTTTGAGTTCTTACAGAAACCCGAAAAGACGTCACCAAGGCAGTTAAGGTACCTGGATTTCATAAGACAGTTTACGACAGACATACAACACATCGATGAAATAAATAGTTACGAACAGATCGATTTCAACAAGTTAGCTAAGAGCCAGAAAGACCCTGCTGAATTATTAAACCTGTTAACTAAAAATGAGACATCGTTGGAACTCAAGTGGATCTGTATGCCAAACTCAACGAATTCAATTGCATTCGATCTGTCAACTGAACGAGCGTGTCCCTTTGTTCCTCAAGGACATCGACATCAAATTTTCCGGGCGATACACTATCTGGAGCATCCAGAAAGTAAACCATCGATGAAATAAATATGTGAGCGTTTCGTTCGACCAGGCATGAAAAAAGACATAACGACAATGGTAAAATCTTGTCTTCAATGCCAATGCACCAAGGTGTCCAAATATAATTAAACAATATAACTAAACAATACTTCGTAGTTTCAAGTTACCAGAGCAGCGATTTTTCTCATTGCATATCGATATCATAGGATCATTGCCGATGTGAAATGGATTCATCTACTGTTTAACGGGCATTGATCGCCATACTAGATGGCCAGTTACTGTCCCTATGTTGGATATTAATGCAAGGACAGTGACGGCATCATTAGTGTGTGGCGACAGTACAACAAAGATGTCAACCCAGAAAATAACCAATTGTCATTATTGCTGACCGTGTACATATCGACATCATTGTGATGCCAATGGATAAAGGGTATCGCTATTGTTTAACAATGATTGATCGTTTTTCAAGGTGGCCTAAAGCTATACCTTTAAAAGACATTACGGCAAATACCATAGTATCTGTTTTTTGGTCAAACTGGGTGGCGAGATTTGGATGCCCGCAAACCATAACAACGGACCGGGGCCTACAATTTGAATCAGCTTATTTCAAAGCCATGACCAAAATGATAGGAGCAAAACACGTCCACACCACGTCATACCACCCACAGGCAAACGGTATGATTGAACGCTGGCACCGTTCTTTAAAAGCAGCACTTATGTGTCACGAAGTAGAATCCTGGACAGAATTACTACCAACAGTCCTGCTAGGCCTACGAACGAGTTTCAAAAAAGATCTGCAAACTTCAACTGCTGAGATGCTGTATGGTTCCCCGATTCGACTACCGAACGAGTTTGTTGAGGACGACCAACAATGCACCAGCCCGCAGATTTTCATAGAGGAGTTTTGCAAACACATGCGATTAGTGCGACCGATTCCCGCAACACATCACCGGAACAATGTTTCATTTGTGTTGAAAAACCTCTACAACTGTTCACACGTCCTGCTTAGGACTGATTCTGTTTGTCGCCCGTTGGAGCCACTGTACACTGGACCATTTAAGGTACTCAGTAGACCAACGGACCGAACTTTCGTAATTGACATCCAGGGAAAAGAGACCACAGTTTCAGCAGAAAGGCTCAAACCTGCTTTCATTACTAAAGAAGTAGATGTGAAGGAGGCAACGAAGAACCCACACACGCACGTAAAGAGAAACCAGGTGAGGTTTTCACAATAGACAATACTGGAAGGGGGGTACTGTGGCGACAGTACAACAAAGATGTCAACCCAGAAAATAACCAATTGTCATTATTGAAGGAAAAAGACACCTGGCAATGCTGAAAAGATAAAAGCATATAAACTGGTCACCTTAACAACAAATGAAAGAATGAGAGGCAATTGATAACAACAGTTAGTTGATGGTTAATTTTCCTAGAGTAAACTTGTATTATTTTGTAGTTTGAAGAAGGTAGTTTTGTATAATAGTGGATGTTAAATAAAGTAGTCAAAAGAAACGACTAAAAGTGGAAGGCTGGTGTGTCTTCTGAAATAACAATCGACCAAGGCCGACAATTCGAGTCAAAACTATTCAATGAACACACGAGGCTAATTGATAAAAACACCTTAGAACTAGTTGATGTCATCAGCAAGCAAATGGAATTGTCAACCGTTTTCACCGCACACTTAAAACAGCTTTAGAGTGCAGATCCAAGCAAATGTGGACTGACTACCAGTGGTACTTCGCGCTCAGAGCAACGTATACAAAACTATCAAGGTAACTCTTGCAGAAATAATTTATGAAACGACACTTAGACTACCGGGTAAGTTTTACGAAAGTTTTAGTAAAGACAATATGTACACACAATCACTGCGAAAAGTAATGAAGCAAACCAATTCGTATCTAAAACATTTGTACAACAGGATTTTAAAAAATGTACTCATGTTTATCTAAGCGATGACACTGTTCGACCACTTCTCAAAGCACTTTATGAAAGACCATTTAAGGTAACTGATCGCGATGATAAGCTGATGATCATTAGTAGTAATAAAACTAAATCTTAGTTGATATTAAAAGTTGTGTTTTACTTCGCGTAGAGCATTATCTCCATAACTGATTTCCTAATTTGTGATGACAATGTACCAACAATGAAATTAATAAACAAAGCATCAAAAATCGTTGTGAGGAACGGACGTGACGCCATCAACAACAGAATAACCATGCATTTGTCACGGTACAAGGATAGAATACTGTTATACGATGATCGAATAAAACGATATAATGAATTGCGACGTGTTCCACAGTTTTAAGTGTATAGACCAGCACTTTAAAATGAGATGTACTATGGAGATTTGAGAGTCGTCCTTCTTGTAGGAGCCATGCTAATAGGGACGCAGATTATTTGCACTGATCGTAATGCTGCGAAGCCATAACTACAATTATGAAATAGCTACATGATATGAAGTTAGAACTAACAGCAGAAAAAAGACGCGGTACTTCTGAGTATGCTAAAAGTATTTGAATTCATAATCTTAAGAGCACATCATTCGAAAGTGGGAAATAATAAAGCTGAAAAAGATAACAATATTTTTTGCATATTATGACAAATATAT